GGGGGGGGGGGTACTTTGGGAATTTCTGGGTGGGGATGTGCTGCTGGGACCCTGGAACCCTTAGCCTATACCAGAGCTAGTTCAGCTGAAGTTTGCTACCCTATACTAGAGTTAACTCCCCAAATTCCCCTCATCTATCGACACTGTTGAGGCTGATTTGCGTAAATTTAAACTTGCCGATCTGATTTTTTTATATTTTTGAGTGGCGATTCCTGGTTTCCTTAGTCTAGATAAAATCTTCAACCAACTAGTCAGTTTTGTGAAAAATTATGCCCTATTCTAGACCCGAACGCTCTAATTTATATACCCTATCCTAGAGTAAACTGCTTGCAAACCATACCCTTCACAGCGGCACATACCTATATAGCCCATATATGGCAGTGCCCCCCCCCCTCCCCACCCCCGCTGGGGGAGGGCGTATATTTGAAATCTTCTTACGAGGTGTCAAGAAAATGTATAGCGAATAAGTTACGTTTTGTAGATATATGAACTGGCTATGCGACGCGCGGTGTGGTACACGATGTAACGCTTAGGGGTAACGCTCATGGACCGAGGAACAATGATATCGTACGTCGTAACATTTATTCGTCTAATAGGCTAAATTTTGATGGTATCGCCTCCTCGGTAGCGAAGTACAAATTCCAGTGGCATTAAAACAAAGTGCATGATCCACCGCGGTGTAAATTTTAGTGGATAACGCTTATAGAACGAGCAACACACATGCACAGTAATTTGTCAGTAGTCGTTTGCCAATAGCTGTACTGAGTCGCCTCTTGAGGTGCATAAGTGAAAAATGCATCCAAATTAGTTCTAGTTTTGAAGAAAAATTAAAGAGATTACGCGGTGTAGCTCAGCGGATAACACTCAACTTTTTCGTGGATGAGTGGTTTATTTAATTACCTTTGAACGATTTACCTAATTTCATAGCTGTTCTGAGTCTTCTATCGACGCACATTAACGAAAGGTGCTTCTAAGGTAGTCCTGGTTTTGAATAATAATTAAAGAAATTGGTCTAAAAACGTGTTGAAGGCTTTAGGCATATTGTTTTTCAGCCTTTGAGTAGTCTTCGCAAGCATTGAATTAAATCGACTTTGATCCCTGTGTTTCCGCCTGCATATTCTAGTGTTTTTATGGGATATTTCTTCTCCTTAAGCTTATGCTTTTGCAGCGAGTGTAAACTAGGCCCTATAGGATATTTCTTGTCCTTAAGCTTATGCTTTTGCAGCGAGTGTAAACTAGGCCCTACGAAATCAGTAACACTGTGACCTAAAAACGTAAACAAAGCCGCACCTTCTAAAATATTCCTCGAGGCATTCTTCACAAAACCTGTGGCCGCATCCCGTTTGAACAGGCTTCTTAAACGGCAAATGACATATCAAACAGACAATCTCATCTTCAACTGCATCCACAAAGTCCTCGTCATAACCAAAAGGTAGCCGATTTCTAGAGGCTACCGCCATGTTGTAAATTTCAGAGTGAAAACCAACCTCGTCCCAGGGCCTTCTCCGCTAACCTGGCCAAGGCTGAACTAATACCCTTGCTGGTTGGTCCATTCACAC